GTGTCCTCCCCACTGACTGAGTGTATCATTATTACCTTGTCCTTGCTATAACCCACGCTCCACCTGATTGCCCATACACCTGACCGGGATGTCTAAAGCAACAGGGATAATCTTCATCCTGTTACAAAGAGAATGGGCTGTTGAGTACAGTAAGCTGTTTCTGTTGAAAGAAGGAAAATGTTTTATGTTTTTTCGACACTTCTCTAATAATAATAGCAATAAACTACCGTCTCCTGCTCAGGCCCCCTGGCTCCAGACCTGACCACCCATTGCTGTCCCTTCTCAGCCACTGACTTCTGCCCCTGCCTCGCATCTCGGATGATTACACCTCAGCTGTCTCAGTTCTCGGACCCATGTTGCTCCCTGACCCTGCTCCATGCAGTGTTTGGCCCTGGCTTTCACCCCAGCCCCCCTTGGACCTTGGCCAACAGCATGTGTGACCCCTAGGCAGACCCCCTGCACCTCATGATGTGACAGGGCAGTGCTGATCCAGGGGATCCTGGTCTGGGGCAGGGGCTGTTCAGCGCTGCGCACCTGTGCCATGCCCTGAGCCTCCTTTTCTCAGCTCCTCGCCCGCTGCCAGCAATGTGTGTCTGTGCTCAGCTCCACATCTCTGTTCCAGTGCTGGGGTCACTGCAGCCTCCACAGAGGTCCCTTCTCACCCCCACCCCTGACTGCAGCTCTGAGGACAAAGATGGGAGACAATCTAGACAAGGGGTGGGCAAAATACAGCCTACAGGCCAGATCCAGCCCTCCAACAGGCTTGATCTGGCCCACGGCTGCCCCTGCAGTGCTCCACATGGGGCTGAGCCTCCCCCACTCCCACCGGGGCAGCCCACCGCACTCCTCCCGCCCCGGCCACAGCCAGCAGCAGTGCCTGGCACGGCGCCTCCAGCTGGGCCCCTCCCTGCTCCTGCCACGCTGCACGGGAAGGTGGAACCTCAGCCCGGTGGTTCTGCCGAGCACGTCCTTTCCCGGAGGCTGTTTCCTCCTGGCTCAGGCCAAGCTTACCATCTGGCTATCCAGGAGGGAGGCTCTGCCCGGGAAGGTTCCCGGTGACCTCAGGGCATTTTTCCTTGGTGTCCTTCGCACGCGTCTCCGGGCAGAGTACCACTGGGCAGTAGCCGCCGGCACTCTCTCAGTTTGAGAGTCGGTGGGCGCTGTCTGGCACGCTCTGCTCGGTGTCCCCTCTGGGAGCACTCGTTTTGGCCCTATGACCTTGCACATGCACACCCTGTTTTCCCTTTTGCTGTCCCAAGTAATCAGTTGATGTTTTAAGGCGCTGGCTGCCCAACCAGTGGCGGCCCCTAGTTTTTTAGCGGGATACACCCTGATTTCTCTTTTGCTGTCCCAAGTAATCAGTTGATGTTTTAAGGCGCTGGCTGCCCAACCAGTGGCGGCCCCTAGTTTTTTAGCGGGATAGGCCTGCAAAGACATCTTTCATCAAATAGACTCCTTTCCCAGCTTCTCACGCAGGGTTTACCCACTCTTTTACCGACCCCAAGTTTCCAAACCCAGCGGGAGTGGGAGTCCTGCTCTCGGGCGCCCCGGGATACATCCCCACCCAAAAGGGTTTGTGAAGCCGGCTCACAAGCTCCAAGGGCTTGTTCCTGCTTGACCCTTCAGTGCTGCACGGGCCTCTGGACATTCATGAAGGGTTCA